TTATACTCTCAATCATGGACTCATGGTAAATTAAACCTAACATTTAAATCATTGATTGGAATGACTCTTTGTACTTAAATCTCATGTTCACCTACTTTGTTTTCGTTTTCCACTTCACCTGTAGGCTACGAAGTGGCTCTATATTATTCTTTGTCCAATTTATGTATATCCTTCTAATGAAATAAATGGTCACATGAGATTAAATTATGATATAACTCAATTACGTGTTTAGTTGCTCTATATAAAATTGTATTAATTTGTACATGTTTATACAAAGTATACTATTGAGTGTGGATTTTTTACGAAACTGAGTCTAATTGAAAAACAATTTACGAAAATAGACGCGAGGTAAAATTATTTACGAAACTGAGCTTCAGAGGTAAAACGCTGACTCGGTCAGCGTTTTATTCCTTTTTATTTTTTTTTTTTAAATTTCGTATTTTAAAATGCCAAATTAAAAAAACATGAAATACAATGAAACGCTGACTGAGGCAGCGTTTTTAGGTAGGTCCTAAAACGCTGCCTGAGGCAGCGTTTCATTAACAAGGGAAAGACGCTGCCTCAGTCAGCGGTTTTCGCTGGTATATTGCCACAGAAAACCGCGACATCACATTATTCACTCTACTTCAAACTCTCTCAAACTTGCTCAAACTCTCTAAAACGGATATTCCATCGTTGTACTAGGCCTCCCCGCCACCGGAAAGTGTGCTGCTGTCGCCGCCGTCGCCGCCTTGTTGGTACTCTCTCTCAAACTCTCCTCTTCATTTAATGACATTGTTGGTACTTCTCTTTGTTTTTAAAATTTTAAAACCTAGGTTAGTTTGATAATTATATAGTACATTGTTTTAATTTGATAATGTTGTTGATTATTCTAAGTTAGTTTGATGTAAATTGATAATTATGTTGATAGTTCTAAGTTAGTTTGTTGTAATTTGATAATACTTTAGTATAAAAGCCCTAAATTGATGTTAGTTTAGTAAGAAAGTTTATGATGAAATTGTGGAAATGTTTGGTAAAAATGTTGAAAATGTTGATGAAATTGTTGATATTGTTGATGAAATTGTTGTTTTAATTTGATAAAATATCCTACATTGTCGTTTAATTACGAAAATTATGTTATGTAGAATACGTTGGTTGTTAGTGTGAATATGTTCGTTGTGTACTTTGTTTTGGTTGTTATGTGAATTGGAACAATGATGGTTAATTATGTTTGTAGTGTGAATTTCTTGGTTGTTATTGTGCGAATTGGTGGAGATTGCATGCAATTAAGATGTGTTTTTGGTTGTTGTATAGAATATGGCTGCACAAAACGCAGCTTTGTTATGCCGATGGGGGGTGAATTTGTGTCTGATGGACCGAATGTCCAGTATAGTGGTGGAAATATGGAACCATTGACACTTGGACCAGACATGACTTTCAACGATCTGATGAACGAGGTTCATAGCATTATTGGCTTAAACCGAATGAATGTACAACTTAACATTCAAATGAGGTTTGAGACTAATGTTGCGGTTCAAGTGTTACCTTGTTCTAACGATAGACATTTGAAAGCTTTGAGGAGCGCTGTTTTAATGAGGGGTTATCCACATGAGATATATGTAGAAATAGTGTCTACGTGTACGCAACAAAGTACTCGACCAGATCAACAAACTACTTATTTTTCCGGTTACACAGAGTCCTTTCGAATGCCCTCACAAGACATTCCATCAACTGAATATGGGATGGGGTCCTTCAGCAGACTGCTTCATGACGATCGGTTCCAGATGTCATTGAGTTCACATATAGCTTCACCTGTATATGGTGGAACATCTACGACAATGTTTGGCCAATCTGGGCCTTCGACATCGAACACAGTTATATCTTCTCCCATGCAACTCCAAAGTTATTCACCTACGCAGCATGATGATCATACATCACCGTCTCAACCATTGGTGAATCATCTTGAAAATCTACAACATATGGTGAATAACGAGTTGTCTCTGTATGATGCGCTCCGGGAAACAAATGATGAGGCTGAGAGCGAAGAGGAGGAACCAATTCTGGATAACATGGATGTTGATTCTACAGACATGGAAGGTGGGGAGGCTATGGTTAGAACTCCTATTCCTTGGTTAAGTCAAGTAAATGAGAATTATGAGGTTGATCAATATTGGGTCGATCGGGGGGGAGTTTGAGAAGGGTATGTTCTTTGAATCTAAGAAACTGCTTCAGGAAATGGTGAAGAAGTATTCTATACAAAGGAACCAATTCTACACCACAGTGACCTCAAATGAGAAGGTCCTTCATCTGCGGTGCAAGAAGAATTGTGGTTGGTCGCTACCAGGCACCAAAAAAAGTGAGCACTCAGACGGCTTTACCATAGTCACAAGAGATCGTGTCCCTCTAGATCGACCGGGCACTAATTTTTTATTTTTTCTGTTATCTAGAGTGATGTAGTAGAATAGTACGGTGATTGTATTTCTACATTTCAAATGATTGTAACAGTTGGATTTTTAGATTGAAGTATGAGATTTGAAATTCTGTATTTTGTTATCGCTAATATGTAATTTTTACTTTTTAATTGTTGGATTATAACTGTTTATGAACAGATACCATGGACACCCGAGATAGGACACCCGGACCCACCAACCCTTCTGTCCTTACACTACAGGATACACATCGTAGCGTTGACATTTGGAGTCAGTCGGTTGATCCGACGGGCATACTGACATGCAGGCACTACACTGTCGCGTTCCTTGGCGATTGGGTTATCGATCCCCGTATTCTGCCTTTCGTGGAGTACGCTGGCTTCATGGGTATACATCGGATGGCGTTCAGAGAGGTCGACCCAGCGCTTGTTACTGCGCTTGTGGAGAGATGGAGGCAGGAGACGCACTCCTTCCATCTACCTGTTGGGGAGGCGACCGTGACGTTGCCAGACGTGGCGATACTCACACGGCTTCCCATTCATGGGAGTCCGGTGTCTGGATCTGCGTTGGCCGATCCCCCCGGTTATGTAGCTCAGGTTCTCGGGGTTCAGCCAGGATCGGACGATATCAGGGGCGGCGGATTGAGGATCGGCTGGATACGCGACACTTTTCGTGTGTTGCTTGATGGTGCTGATGAGGCCACTATTGCGAGACATGCTCGAGCGTACCTTTTTCTGCTCATCTCGGGTGTGTTGTTCGGTGGCAAGAGTGGCAGCCATTTACAGATCATTTACCTGTAGCTGGTAGACCACGACTGGGAGCATATTCGTGGCTACAGCTGGGGCAGTGCTTGTCTGGCGATGTTGTATCACCATTTGTGTAGAGCATCCCGCCGGGGTTCTCGTGAGATCAGCGGACCGTTATTTTTGCTTCAGGTAACCTACCTATCTGTTAACAATTTCATTCGAAAAGTTCTTACTTAGTTTACAATTAACCTAGTTTTGTGTGTTTGATGTCCAGTATTGGTCTTGGGAGCACCGCATTGACCGTCGGGGAAAGAGCGACAGGAACTGGCAGACGGAGCATGCCCAGTACATTGACTTGTGGCATCGACGGTTGGAGTTCGTCGTCACTCGTGACCCCATCCACGGCGTTATGGATCCATACGATCCATACATGGAGTGGTACATGCGGATTACACGGCGTTTCATCAACCCCAGCTACACACCGCCATCCGCACATTACCATCCATCCTTTGACGTGATTAGGGGATATGTAAGTGTATTTGATTAACTTATTTTTATCAATTTTAAATTTGTATATCATTCAACTAACTCATCCTTAATTACTGCAGGCGTTGGATATGACGGCTATGGTTGACGCACTGTCGGACGTCCTTCCAGGCATACCTGAGCCGCCCAGAGCACAGGTCGAGCGGGTGCGAGATATGGGCATGGCTACCTTGCAGAGATATGGTCACGCCTATCTCGTCCACCCCCGGGACGATCATGGCGGCCACTCTAGTCACTCACAGTTCGAGGCTGGCCAGAGTAGCTGTGGGGGTGATCCTTCGTCATTCACGGGCGCAGAGGAGTACGACATTTACAGTTCCGCGCCCCTACGTCATCCTGATGACCCATCTTCCAGCCAGCTGACTCCGCCAGTACGCCCGAACCCATTTACCACGGTCCGTCACTACAGCCGTCGTCAAAGGCCGAGAGTGGACATACAGGATAGAGAGCCGTTACACCAAATTGATGAGTCAGAATAGGATAGAATTATCTGATTTATTTACTGTAATGACCTTCTCTTGTTTGTTGTACATAACACTTACATTACATTATTATTTTAATAATTATTTGAATGAATTTATGTCTTGTTTGAATTTCAAATTCCTTATTTGTCCACGTTTGACTCATTTCGTTCAAAATAAATTGTGGATGTGGAGGTGGTGGATGTGGAGGAGGATGGGTGGTGGAGGTGGTGGATGTGGAGGAGGAGGGTGGTGGAGGTGTTGGAGGATGTGGAGGAGGAGGGTGATGGTGGTGGTGGATGTGGAGGAGGAGGGTGGTGGTGGTGGTGGATGTGGAGGAGGAGGGTGGTGGATATGGAGGAGGAGGGTGGTGGTGGTGGTGGTGGATGTGGAGGAGGAGGGTGATGGTGGTGGTGGATGTGGAGGAGGAGGGTGGTGGATGTGGTGGATTTGGAGGAGGAGGGTGGTGGATGTGGAGGAGGAGGGTGGTGGTGGTGGTGGATGTGGAGGAGGAGGGTGGTGGTGGTGGTGGAGGATGTGGAGGAGGAGGGTGGTGGAGGATGTGGAGGAGGAGGGTGGTGGTGTTGGTAGATGTGGAGAGGGTGGTGGATGTGGAAGGGGGCTGCACTGGCTGCTGTTGGGGGCCTGCTGTTGCTGCCTTCAGCCAGCAGATAAAACGCTGACTGAGGCAGCGTTTTATGCTTAGGTGTAAAACGCTGACTCACTCAGCGTTTTTCTCTGTTATGGATATAAGAAAAACGCTGACTGAGTCAGCGTTTTACTGTATTTCCAATTTTTTTTTTTAAATTTGTATTTCACATAATACGAAATTTTATAAAAAAAAATAATGACCAAAGGTAAAACGCTGACCGAGGCAGTGTTTTATTTCAGAAGCTCAGTTTCGTAAATAGTTTGGCCACGCGTCTAGATTGGTAAATTGTTTGCCAATTAAGCTTACTTTCGTAAAAAATCCATTGAGTGTATGATAATAAGTTCTTTAAAAGCAAAAGTCATTTTCATTCCACAATAAGTTATATTAAGACCGTCTCACACGTTAAAAAAAAAAAAAACCATCTCACCGCGAATACTTGCCTATCAAGAATATTAAAAAATTTTGGGAAAAGAAAAGTCATATACTCTAAGTCAAGATCACGAGGCAAATAAGTCAAATATGGATAGCCATGAGGTGAAAGTCTTTCTCCACCACTTCTAAAAAAAGTTCACACTAAAGAGACTTGTATTAACTCCTTATTTTTTTTTAATATTTATCAAGCTTTTTAATTTTTATAGATGGATCTATCAACAATTTCCATCCGTCCATTTACACTTTCGGACGTGGATGATTTCTTTAAATGGGCAAGTGATGATGAAGTAACTAGGTACCTTAGATGGAACACAATCCTCTCTAAGGAGAAAGCATTCACGTATCTTAAGGACGTTGTTATACCCCATCCTTTCCGATGGTCCGTGTGCCTCGACAACCATTCGATAGGATATGTTTCAGTCCGGCCCGGCTCGGACAATGATAAATTTAGAGCTCATTTGAGTTATGCCGTGGCCTCTGAGTACTGGGGCCACGGTATTTGCACAAGTGCTTTGCGGAAGTATCAATAGCGGAATAGCCCGTGCATGATATTTTTCTTTCTCAATACTTGTTGAAGTGGTGAACCAAACAGTTAGAGGTTGGATAGAATTTCAATTAGAAAATTACAATTGACAACAGTATCCTCCTCATTTTTGGGTTAAACAGAGAAATTGCAGCAGCAGGCAGCTATAATGAAGACAGAAACCTCTACTATTGTTCCCTCAAGTAATCACTCTCTTCCTTTCTTAAAATTTCTAGGGTTCATTTTAATTTTAATTCTCCTACACCTTCATTGGTTGAAATGTTGATTGTTTAATCATAGTAATTCAATTACATTGTATTTTCCAATTGCATTGTATTATCTGTATAATTCAAATATCTTATACTATATTGTTTACTTTAATCTGATTGCCGTTTAAGTTTTAGTATGAATTGTCAAGTATCGAGCTCTCTTGTATGGTTTGGTTCAGAAATTCCTCAATTATCTTCAATTACATTATCAAATGATTGTTGATTTGAGTTTTACTTTTATGATTTCCGATTTTGACTTCGCTGCACAATTTAGATTTCTCGATTTCGCTGGAAGTAGTTGTAAGTAAGATGATTGTAGGAATTTAAGTGAGTTCAATTGTTGAATTGAACTGTATTAGACTGACATGTACAGAAATAAGTGAATTTCAGTTGAAATGAAGTACATCCTTGTAAGATAGTTGATGCTCAAACATAGCACTATTAAGTGTTACATGTCAAAATCTGCTTCATTCTATGTTAATTTTGAAATGTTCTGCTACACATTATCCTTAAATTGAACTTAAGCTGTTTTTGGACGCGTGTTAACCATGTGTTATTTGCCCTTTTTATTGTGAATAATGTTAAATTGTTAGTTCTAGTTGCTGATCTATTATACTAATGGTCCGCTTCTACAATGTGTCTATTTGTGTTTCATTAGTATATGCTCTATTAATCTTTCAGTCATTACTCTTTAACTTTTTTAGTTGTCAAGGGTGATTCTTTCATGCAAGTTTTACTTATAGTAGGTTATATTAGAGCCTTAAAGCAACTTTTTGTGATGGAATGTCGTGCTGCTAGTTTCATTATACCAAATTTAGTTTGCTTCTCAAATCATTCACACTACCCAGTTTATGAAATGGCGCATCTGAGGCTAGGATTGGCACTGAGGTATAAGGCGATATGGGCATGCACCTTTATTGGTCAGGGAGAAGGGGTTTTGGTGTGGCACACTAAAAGGGGCAATAATGCTAACCAAAAGGCGCACAACAATATTTCCTGTTTTTTTTTTTTTTTTTTTTTTTTTTTTTTTTTTTTTCCACTTTTGATATGTGCACCTCAGTTAAATGAGGCGCACTATTGCCGTGAGCCTTTCTATGCATTGAGACTATTGTTATAAGGGAAGTGAAAAAAGAAACCAGAAGGTGCAAGTGAATTGAATGATGTCGTCATATTATGTTTAGAATATAAATATTTAAGTGAGTGAATGTTATTCATGATCCAAATTGATACCTTACACATTCTCTTCAATTTTTCTTGGTTTGACTTACATCCAATTAACTTGTTGAGGTGCTTAGCATGCCAGCATGGAGATTAAACTCTCTTTGATTTTTCTTTGTGTTGCCACTCCAATATCCCCAAAGCCCTTATGTAAAGGGATATTTTAACTTCTTTTTTGTGTTTTTTTTTTTTTTTTTTTTTTTTTTTTTTTTTTTTGTGAATGATGTCTAAATGTCATTGTAATAATATCATATTCTTAAACACTATCGTCCAAGCTCTGTTCAGGTGCCATTGATTTGGGCATACCCTGTGTTTTATTACTCACTTTCTCTTACCTTATGCAACCTTTTTATTTATATACTGTTACTCTTTCTGTGCTGAGAACATTGGTTGTTTGTATGATATGTTACATCTTGCAGGTGCTTTGGATTATCAATTGCGATCTTCCAAAGATCAAGAGAAGAATTTTGCATCTGGCATTATCATGGAAGAAAATCCATTGAATTTGCTGCAATCCCTATATGGTATGTTGCTTTGTTATTATAAAAAACTTTTGTTGTGAAAAATGTTGTACCTTATGTTACTGAAACCACCTTTTCTTGGATGCAATAAACAGTATTTAGTAATTTTACTGACCAACATGCTAAATAAGTTAATAACTTCCTAAAGAAGGCTACTTTATGTGAGAATATTATATGTTAGTTGCATCTCCAGATGGAAACACCTTTATCGATTGTAGGAGAAAATTCAAGTGGCTAACATGCAAGCAGCCTGATACTTTCTCAAAGAGCATTAATATCTTCTCATGAATTGGTCAATTGGATATATATTCTAGAGATCTTAATTTTATTTGAAGTTCTCATTCAGATATTAATGACAAATCATTCAGTGCTTAAATAGAACGATTGCAGCATATTCTAATAGAGTAATAGACTCGTGCTTTTTTCCTTTTTCCATTGAGTAGTGGGATTAATAAAAAATCTAGGACAGGTAGTTATCTCAAAGTTGGAAGTAAGAAAGCCCGCATGAATTGGAGGAAGTATATGTCAATGAAATTCTGCTTCTCTAAAGTAGGGCTGTTTTAATAAAATATTGTTCATCGATGGAAGTGATATGTTTGAATACTTAACTTTATTAAAGTATATAAAAAAAAACATAATGAGTACATCAACAAAAGACCTATAGACCTCTTTAGAAGTTAATGAAAGCAAATGTGTTCCTTTCATGCTGATTTAGGTTGTCTCCAAGCCTAAAATGCACCATAGAGGAACATCATAAAGAAACATGGTAAGAAATTCTGTATTACAAAGTTATTCAACTTGCATATCTAAGAGTCTTGTCGTTTTGTTTTAGCCGTAACACCCCTACCATTGTAATTCATATTCACATGAAATTTGAAGAAAGGCCATTCCATTACATAAAGGAAACTATGTTATGGATTTTCAATTTATTCCACCAAAAGTCATCTTCAAAAAGTCATAAAAATGGTATCGGTATGCTTTGTGAAATTGATCAAAGAATCTGATTTAATTGGTCAAAAGAGAATTAGTGAAGTTCAATTTGATGAAGGGGATAGGGTCATAAGGGCTTTGGATTTAGCATCAAACCCTTTATTGCGGAGATATACAAAGCTAAGTTTGATGCTAAAGGTTACAAACCAAGCAAAGCATTGCTTTTTGAATTTGTGGCAAAATAAAGGGTTTTAAAAATGCATTTACAAGGTTGCCACTCATATTTTTGTATTTGTGTTGAGGATGGCACATTCATTAAAGATATAGGATATTGGATTCATGTCTTAGTATGCAGGCTACAAAGTTGTACAATGTAATGATGACATTTGCATAGCCATTAATATTCTATATTAAATAGATACTAGAAAGATGCCAATCAAGTTAATATTCCAATAGAATATGGCATGGAATTGTCTAAAAAAGATACAAACCTAGAAAAATGTGAATAGTAGTATGCCTATACTTGAGTTATAAGAGGCCTCAGGCACTGTGCTCTTCCACTGAATTTCATTTATCTTATTTTATTAGCTTACAATTTATTTTATTCAAACTTGTATACTTATGAACCATGATCTTATATAAACTTGTTAGCCCTTATTTATCTAAACTTATAAATCTTTATCTTTTTTGAACTTATTAGCCGTTATCTTATTTGAGTTTATTAGTCTTTATTGAATTTGAACTTATTAGATCTTATCATGGACCTTATTTGGCTAAACCGGTAAGTCTTGTATGTGGCTAGCCACACGATGTGGCCACATTAGTTTATAAGAGTAATCTTCATTTATATATATGGGTAACCTCAATTTTTCATAAGAGTAACCTCATGTTTTCCATAAAAGTAACCCAAATTCATTATACGAGCGACTTCAAGTAATTTAGAAATAAGTAACTCCATTTGTTCATTCGAGTAACCCCTATTCTTTTGTTTAAAAAAAAACGAAAGAATAATTCCACTTATTTAAGAGAGTAACCCCTATTTCTCATTTAAGTAACCTGCATACACGTTGAAGTAACCCCATTTGCTCATCACCGTAACCCTCTATTACTTAATTAATTGTCTTGTATGTGATTATGTGAAGTGGCCACACCATGTGGCTAGCCACATATAAGATTTTGTGTTGACTAAATCGGAACTTATTAACCTTTATTTTATCGTTTTTAAAATTATCAAACCTTATTTTGTCTTATCATAAATTAATGGCCCTTTTATTATCTTATGTGAACTTTATATACCTTATCTTATATGAACTTATTAGACATGAAATAAAGGAGCTTATTATACCTTATTTGAACTATTTTATCTGATTATCTTAACCGATTTGAATTTATCGGCCCTTATCTTATCTCATCTCATCTTATTTTATCAAAAATTGTTAGACATGAAATAAGTGAAATAAGGTAGTGGAACCTAAGTTGTTTCAAGAACCCATCTACATTATGTTCTTGGGCCTTTGGGCGGCGGATCTCTTGTTTGATTATTCATTTTTCAATCCTTCACTTTCATCTCCCTTCTCTAAATTTGAAATCTAAAAGTCTGATAGGGAGTATATTTTGAGGAGGTTGGCGTAATGCTATGTTGCTATTTTTTTTTCTTCTAAAACTTTTATATTTTTCTAAGGTTATTCCTAAATCATCATAGTTGATCATACTATTTGGCATTATGCTATGGCAAGAAAGTAACTTATCATAGATAATTACAAAATGTCTTTCACAGATGGTGCTATAGCTGGAGCTGTTGCAGGTGGTGTGGTTGAAGCAGCCTTATATCCGATAGATACAGTTAAAACTCGGCTGCAGGCAGGTCTACAATCTTCAACTTCTTATTGTTGTCTGTGTCTGTGATTTGTTTTATATCAGTTAAAGCTTAAATATTATACTTTGACTAATCTACTGAAATCTGATAAATTATTATGAGTATGTATAGAGCCTTCAATATCTTCATGCAGCATATCATCAATTGAATATATAGGTGGTGTCATACCACTAAGTCAAGGTTGATATTCTTCATGATAATGAGAAACATGATTCTATTATTGTTGCCTAATGGACTGGCTATTTCATTTCATGGACCTTTTGGCATGCTTGAAGTTCATAAATTCAGTTTGGCTAAAGTGGATGCTGTACATTCTGCCAAGAAATTTTAGCTCTTTTTTTTAAAGAGAGTCAGGATAGGAGACTGCCCTTATATTGTGGGGAAAAAAACAACTGTTGAGAGTGAAATATGTGCATCCATTTCAAAAGAGGCTGGATGAATCATTGGTTGAACTTGAAATCAATTTGTAGATATGAAACTTTGAAGCTCGAACCGAGAAGAGTAATGAGTGACTTTCACTAATCTACTACTCCCTCCGTTCCTAAATGCTTTTTACGTTTCCATTTAGGGCGTTCCTTTTTATTTTTTACATCTAGTATGTTTCCTATTTTTGTCATAAATTTTGGACTAAATTACCCTTGTTTTACAATTTTTTTACTCAAAAGTCATTACTTTTCCATGTGCTATTGTACTTTTTGTACTATTTTAATAGTTTTTCAACACTTATTATTACTTTCTCTCTCCTTTCTCCTCTAATTTCTTCACCCCACATGCTCAACATTGTATTTTTCAATAAAATTGTACTTTCAATCATTGAAATATTCCAATATACGTCAACTTTACACAATTTCTTAATAATCGCGCATAATTCCAAACGTAAAAAACATTAGGAAACGGAGGGAGTACCTTTGTTTTTTTCTCTCTCTCTCTTTTTTTTTTTTATTTTTATTTTTTTACAGCAATACTTCCTTTTCTTTTTAGTTGCAAATAAGGGGTATCATTTATGACTCATAAAATATCCTTTATTGCGACTAAAAAGAAAGGGAGGTAAAGATGACATATAAATAGAAGTTACTATTTGTTAGGATTATTTCACAAGCCTAATAATTCCTTTAAGAAAAGCGTTTAAGTAAACCGTATTGATTTAATTAAGATTGGAGTCTTATCTAATAATGGAACACTTTATACTTTTTTTTTTTTTCCTTTTTAATTTTAATAAGTGAAACTAATCAATAATCATTTCATACAAGTATCTTTTTTGCTCACTTTAATCATGTTTTACAAGTTTAGCCCAAAGTCTTAAGACTTGGATGTGACATTGTTTTTGTTGGTTGATGGGCGTTAGAATGGTCACACATTCCACATTTAATCAAACACACTTATAAACAAACATCCTACAAACCAAGCATAATGACAAGTAAGAGTTTGGTCCACTAGGAATGGGATATGGTTGCTAGAGATCTTAACACTTAAGCTAATTCAAAGTCTTTGGTGAATTGGGGTTCGTCAAGTACACAAACAAACTATGGTTCTAAAGCGATGGATTAAAGACACTAGGGAATGGGATCCACGCAACCAAGACAATTAGGAAGAGGAGGAGTAAAATAGACAAAATATAGCAAGGACTATATGTAAGATCAACCTCATGCAATTAGAAAACAACTCACACTACTAAACTTAGATTCCTCATTAGTTTAGCAATAGAAGATACACAATCAAATTGCAATAAGTAATGCCATGCTCAATTCACATTTCCATGTCAAACTAAGCATATCATGCTATCACGCTCCTAAGTCAAGGATAGCTAATCCTATCATGAAAAACTAACAAGTAATCTCATACAATCAATTTAATTGCAATACAAACATCAATGCTCCTCCCACATTTGCATAACTAACCCAAAAGGTTGAGCTTCACCCAACCCATAGGAAGAAGACTACTCACAACTCATATTAATCAACATGCAAACAAGTATTAGGGTTCTAACTACTTCAATAATTGGGGAAAAGTGGTTAACAATTAAATTCACTATTATCCAATAACAAATTATCAAGAACTAAAAGGATTCAAGTAACATGCAAATACCAAATAAAATATGAAATTAAGTAGAAAATGGTTGAACAAATTACTAATTGAAGCTTCAAATGTTGATTACAAAGTGCCAATCTTGAGAATGATTCTTGAATTTCACTAATACAATGATTGGATTAATGAAAACTAAGCTAAATTAACTAAGAGGAATGTTTCAAACTAAGAGGAATTTCTAAAAACTAGGCTATTGCTGTCCAAAATACAAATGAGCTAAAAGGGAAGTATTTATACTTCCCGAAACACATAGGTAAATCCGTCAAAATAAAACGCATTCCCAGCGAGGAGTGCCCGCTCCATAATGAGGAGCGCCCGCTTCTGAGTGATGCGCGCCCGCTCTTGCTGGCTTCAGAAGAAGGCATATTCGAAGCTGCCTAGGCACAAGGTGCACGCTCGCTCCCCTGATCTAGCATATGGCAGAATCGAACTTCAATGGGAGGAGCGCCCGCTCCAAAGAGGGTGCACGCCCGCTCCAAAGAGGGTGCACGCCCGCTCCTCCCTGCTTCAACTTAAGTAAGATTTGATCTTCAATGGGAGGAGCGCCCGCTCCAAGGTGGGAGCACGCCCGCATGTGGCTTAAGTTGAGGAGCGCCCGCTACAAGAGAGGTGCACGCCCGTTCCTTTTTGAGCGGGCTCTCCTTCCTCTTGCTCCTTGCCTTGAATGTATTCCATGCTTTGAAGTACAACATTTTCAATCAAGAACGGGTTAGAAAGAGGGGGAAAAAATTGCAAAACCGGGTTTAAATTAACACAATAAGTGGTCAAATAAACCACTTATCAAATCCTCCCAAGCTAGCCAAATGCTTGTCCTCCAGCAATTCACATTGCTAAAAAACAAAACAAAAGATCAATTTGCTCAAAGAAAAGCACATGCATAGATACAAGAATCCTTAAGTAATAAAACTCAAGCATGAGGTATATGCCTAAGATCAACCACGGTCATGACTAGCCAAGGCCTTGCTAACCCTCCCGAAAATGCTCAACTTAGGCCCATTCAACACATCTTACCGCGTCCCCTTCACAAAGTTCAAATCCCCCTTAATGGTAGTGTCTCGTGACTCCTCGAAGGAGCTGGAAAAACATAGATAAAGCGGGTTATAAGACACTCGACATCTCAATGAAAAAGTACCCTCTCCATATGCTTGTGAATCAACTCCCTCCACCGACAATGACTTCCACTACTCTTTTAACATTACAAGTCTCAAGGATTTCGACACAAAATTTAGGCATAGAAAGAACTAGAAGTGTTCTGCAATTTAAGCTAAACTAAAACGTATATCATTAAGAACAAACCTAAAGAGGTTTTTAACTTTGACCCATATTACAAACCATGAATGAACCAAAACAAAAACACACCCCCAAGCTTGTTTAATTTCTAGGGTGGTGGCTAATCATCACTTTTTTTTTTTTTTTTTTTTTTTTTTTTCCCATTCATTTTTTGGTTTCATTCATTTTTTTTAAGTAACATTTCACAACACACTACTAATTACAAAAAATTAAAGATTGAACTAAGGAAACAAAAAAAAATATGATATGCTTTAACTTTTGTGAATAACAAATACATAACAACCTTCATTAACAATAAGAGTAGTTTAGGCCGCGGTCTTGGGAGTTGAGACTCAAGTTCTCGATCTAGGTACTAAATAAAAAAGGATCTTTACCACTCATACAAAATGTCGTAGGCTTGAAAAATATTAAGACCTCACTTTTGGGGACAATGCGGGATCAAACACTACCTTTCGGGGTTCAAATTCCTTTGAGATAGGCGACACCATCTTACCACAAGCTTAGACTTTAAGTCTCGTACATTCGGTAAGGTTATTCTCACACTAGCCTAAATTAGCCAATTATATGTTCAACCAAGGGCATCTAAACCATACTTGAAATTTTATTACAAAAAGAAAACAAGTTTCCACCACATATAATCCAATATCATCATTGCAAACCGATCAAAAACAAAACAACTTTTTTTTTTTTTTTTTTGTTTTTGTTTTTCTAAGCCTTTTTTTCTCCTTTTTTTATTTTTTTTTATTTTTTAAGAAGGAAGGGGATAAAAAAACTAAATAAGGAATTTTGATATTAGGGATTTTTGAAGGAGGGGGATAAGAAAACCAATTAAACAATTTGTAAATTAGGGGTTTGGATGTTAGGGAATTTGGATGTTAGAGGGGTAAGAAGATAAGAAGAAGAAATTTGGATATTAGGGAAAACCAACATCAATCATCATCAAAAAATTTGTGAGACTAAAGCTATTTCCTTTCTCCTTGATAGGAAGGGCTCTTGAATTGCCTGAGAAGGAGGTAAGGCCTAACTCCTTAGAGAACTTGGGACGAGGTCACCACGGCCTTCTTAGGGAGTATCTACTCTCAAAAGAACACGGCCGAGGCAAGGAATTTGATCCAAGGTTTCCGTCAAAAGGCTAGTGAAACCATATACGAGGCATTGGAAAGATATTAAGAATATCAAAGGGAGTGTCCTCATCATGGCATTCCGACATACCAATTGCTTCAAATTTTCTATGGGGGCTTGAGCCCACAAGGAAAGACTAGCTTAGATGCGGGAGCGGGTGGCCCGATCATGAACAAAATGGAGGAGCAAATCATTGAAATAATTGAGGATGTGGTCAGGCACCACATAGATTGACAAGAAAGGAAGAGGGAGTCTCTAAGCAAAGGAGGAAATGCGGTATATTCCGTCGATCATCTCAATGCCATCAATAATTTGACGTCTCAAATCGCCAAGGTAAGGAGATGACATCTATCAAGGCGAAACTTAAGACCTCCACTTTACAACAAGAGCATCCCTCCCAATCTAAGGGGAGAGGTATGAATTCTAACTCTTCCCTTGCTACATCTAATAACATACCACAAAGGTGTTTATTTTGTGAAAATTGTGGGTCA